TTAGCAAAAAAGGGTAATAACTCAAAAACACTGGGAATCATTTCTTTAAGTTACTTCTGGCTGTCAGGTCAATCATTAAAACAATCTTTATGTAAACTGTTATCAAGAAAAAAAAAATTAAAGCAAGGAAAGTTAATGGAGTTCCTTGGAAATAGTTTGCCTTGAAGCTGAAAAGAACATATGAAGGAGGAGGGATAGGCAATGGATTATTTCAATAACATTTAGGTAATACAAGCTAAAAATTAAACACTCTTATCATAATCTCCAAGGACAGTAACTTCAGAAGGATAGGCAATGGATTATTTCAATAACATTTAGGTAATACAAGCTAAAAATTAAACACTCTTATCATAATCTCCAAGGACAGTAACTTCAGAAGGTTTCTAGAAAGTAGTCTCATCTAAATTTTTTTTTTTAATATATTTTATTGATTTTTTACACAGAGGAAGGGAGAGAGATAGAGAGTTAGAAACATCGATGAGAGAGAAACATCGATCAGCTGCCTCCTGCACATCTCCTACGAGGGATGTGCTCGCAACCCAGGTACATGCCCTTGACCGGAATCGAACTTCAGTCCGCAGGCCGACGCTCTATCCACTGAGCCAAACCGGTTTCGGCTCATCTAAATTTTTTATTAGAAGAGCAAAACAAGGCATCTATATTTTGAAAAACTTCACTGGCTATACTGATGTGCAGCCAAGGTTAATGATCACTGTATGAATCAATACTCCTCGAAGGAAACAAGAGAATGAAAAATCTGTTCTGTTTTAAAAATTATAAACAATGTAGCAAACACATTAGAGTGAGAAAAACTTGAGAGCAAGGAGAGTACATACTTGAACTAAGGAAGCAGAAAGTAAAATGGAGTGAAGGGGCTGGAGTCAAGACCCAACTCATAAAGCAGAATCTATAGGACCTAATAACCAAGTAGTTGTGGAGAATGAAGAAGAAACAAAAGGCAAAAATGACTGTAAGGTCTCCAGTTTAAAAAACCAGATGGCTAGTGATGCCATTAACCAATATATGGAAGGAAAAAGAAAAAAAAGAAGCTGTTTTGAAAGTTAGAGTTACTAGAAAAAAGGTTCAAGGAGATTAAAGGTTATTTGCAATGTTTTACTACTTAAGTTGGATATTAAATACATAGATGTTGACTTTATTATCCTTTTTTAACTGAACATACAAATAACATACAAAATTCAAGTAGAAACAAAGGGTCAAAAACTCACTAGGGATCACTGCTTTTATACACCTTTGTATCTAAGATATAGGTAATGATTTTTTAAAAAGTGGGGGTGGGGGAAAGGAAGGTGGAGGTAAGGAATTTGGGTTTGGACCTAGACTATTTGCAGAACTAAAGAACTATATCACTCAGAGATAGAAACTAGAGAAAATATTTGGAAATGGTTGGCATACAAGAATAATGCCACGGACGCCATGGATATAGATGAGAACTCTCCAGGAGAATTTGTGGAAGACTGTTTGGTTTGTAGCCATAGTCAAGGGCCAACTAAAAGGAGAGAGTCAATTGGGACTGAGAATAATCAAAGGGATAGAAGCTTTTACTAATTCCATTTCCCAAAAGCACACAGAAAGGTATCAATTTAAAAAAATTAAAAAGCTACTATTTATGGTTATCTTACTTAGTGGCAGGTCCAGAATTTCCAGAGAGCTGGAGTTAGAGAAGTAATCTGTCGGAAGGAGGGCTTGAAGATGCTTCTGCATAGTACTATATTAAGTCAGAAAACACTAACTGTCTGCATCAAAAAAACAAGGGAAAGAGGTTTCAGGGAAATATTTCTCCTCCCCTTCAGGACCACCACTGCTAGACTGTTGTAGGCTTTGCACCAAACGTGTTACCTAATCTTTCAATCCTCCTTTCTCTCTTTTTAAAATTTTAATCAACAGACTTTGCTTTTAGAGCAGTTTTAGGTTCGCAGCAAAACTGAGCAGAAAGTACATAGAGCTTCCATATAACCCCTTGTCCCCACATACGTATAACCTCCTCCACTATCAACATCCTCTTGATAAACTTATTAGGTAATGAGGAAACTGAGGCTAGATGGGATCTGCTCAGTCAGGATCACAAATCACTGCACCTCTCATCTGTATTCCCACTGCTCTCCTGGCTCCTATCTTTCCAGACTTTCTCATTGCTCATCTGGATATAGGATACATTTACATGCTTCTCTTTTATTGCACTGCTAGCTCTTCAATGATAGGGTTTGTGTCATTCATTTCTGTATCCCTATAGCTAACAACTGGTAACTGTTTTGTTGAATTAAGCATATGAAAAAAAGTGGGTGAGAATAACATCAAGAAAGCCAACGGGAGACACCGTTTCAAGAAATGGATGGGTAATAGTGTTAAATGCTACGGAGAGCTATCAGCACATCGGAAGTCATCGCTGACATTGAACTGATATTCCTTACTCACTTACTGAACGCCTGCTACATGCAGGACAATGTGTTAAGCACAGCGAACATGAAAATATAAAATTTGGGACACGTGAAAAGACTGTCGGGGAAGCAGTCATAACTAAATTCTTGATCAGGAGAGCAAATCAGAGAGTCAGGCCTGCAATTGCCTACACAGGTAATTTGGCTCGAGTAGATCCGAAGTCAACTGAAAAGGGTCACAGCTTCTCTCTTAATAAAACTTCTGATGGGCGGAACGAGGTGAAAAGGGCCAAAGCACCCCGGCACCGGTGATGACAGCAGGTGGCCAGGAAAGTGGACTCTCTCCGGAGTCTCTCGCCCCCCAAGCAGGGTCGGGGCTGCCGCCAGCTGCCAGTCTGGGGCGGGAAAAAGCAGACACTTACCTCTGAAGGCACCTCTACGGCCGTGGCCCAAAGGGGCCGGGGATTCCTTCGCGAGGCCCCCCGCCGTGGGATTGATCAGAAGAAAGCCGGGCTCAGACAGGTAGGGACGACGCCACGGACCGACTTTCCAAACTACACAAACGCGAGCCCCAGAGCCCAGCACTGCGACGCCAACTCCCACCAGCTGGAAGTCCGACGACAGCCACCGAACCTTCCGCCCAATGAGGAAACGTCACCACTCGCTGTAGTCCAGCCTTTCAAGACGAGGATGCACTTCCGCTTCCGGGGCACCCGCCGCGTTCCTTCACTGCGTGGAAGGGGTATATTGAGATGTTCCTTTACTCCCACTGACTTTAGACTTTCGTTTTCTATCGCTCAACAACGGCGGCAGCAAAGTTGTTAAAATAGGAAGCGACCTCAGGAAAGAAGTCCGGCCTCGGGGAGCCGCCTGAAGAAAAAGTGACTAAGCTGAGCAATGCTAATGAAGGGGGATGGTGAGAGCTGAGGGTGCGCTGAAGTGTAGGAATTCCTCGCGCTCCGGAGAACTCCGAGGAGGGGGCGGGGCTTAGGGCGTTCGCAGCCTGGGGAGGCGGGTCAGTGGTCGCTACCGGACTCCGCTTGCGCGTGCGCGATGCGCACCTTCCCAGCGCTGTTTTCTGCTGCAACATGGAATTAAGCGCCGCGCGGCAAACAATACTGCAACTACTTCGTACCGTGGCTCCGGCCGACCGCCCAGCGCTGCTCGAGTGGATGCGAACTTCCCGTAAGCGATCAGAGTCAGAGGCAGGCGGTTGGGCAAGGATATGCTCTGGGGACTGACTTTGGGGACTTGGGGTGAGGCCAGAGCCACTCATGGGGCGGGGGGGGTGGTCTCTAACTCTGCTACGGGTCAGGTGGAAGAGGGCACATCTCAAATCGTGGCAGGTTGAGAGCCCAGTTTGGGATCAGGTGCACGAAGATTAAGTGCAGGCTCTGGGTTGTTTGTGATTGCGCTGCAGACTTCAGACACGCCGCTAGAGGCTCCTTGTGCCTAACCCTTTTTCTGAAGGAGAAAGAGGAGGCAGATAGCCTTCACCCCCACTCCCCCATTACACGCACAAACTTGTGACAACCAGTAGCGTGCTACCCGAAAAAGCACTTTATAAGGGAAGTTTTAGGCTGCAGAACTGAAAGTTTCACCCTGCAAGCAAAATCACCTGTAGTTAGTGAATTTATTTTTTCAATTGTAATATGGACCGTTGGTTTAAGAAAATTTTTTATGATGGGGGAGGGGAGAGAAAAGGGAAAAAGACTTTGATTTTAAACTGTTAGCAAAACTAGTAACTAATATTATAAAGCACAAGTTAGCGCTCTCCCTCCCCGGAGCACGTGGTGCCTTTCCCTTCCTTTCCACCGCACCCTCCTCCTCCCTCCCCCCCCCCCCTCCCCCGCTTACCTTTAGCTTCCTCACTCCCAAGCTCCAGGGACTCTTCCTTTACTTCCATAACTTGTTTTCTAGGCCCATTTCTTCGAGGAATTACTTTTTCTACCTCTAATTTACCCAATAAATGTTCTCTTACAAAAATAAACACGTCAGAATCGAGGAAATGTTATAATTAGGTCTAGTTATTGAACAATGGGATGATCATTTTACGCAAAGTAAAGCCTGGTGAAGGCACAAGAAAATAGAATATTGCTTGTTTGGGAAGTAAGCCAAATCATACTATGCCTAAACACTGATTCCCATGTTTATTTTCATCCAGACTCATGACTTGAAATACCTGTTTGTTAATGACTCCCAGTTTTAGACTTTCAACCCTTACTTCTACCTGGAATTCTCTATGTGATGTTAGAGTCAATCAGTGGGTTTGGATATTATTATTATTACACATTTGGGGAGGTCATTTTAGATAAGATGCCAAATTACAATGAACTTGGACATCTGATAGTAAGATTTTAGACTGGAAAGGAGTGAAAACCAGAGACTTAGCTTCATATTTATACCCACATACACGATTCAAGATAGGAATTTCCAAAATGTGCTGAGACTCCTGTTGCTTTATTTAAACCCTGTATTGCCAGTTTTATTCATCATATCCCCTTGTTTACAAAACACTGCCAATTTCCACTTGTTTCTGTGTTTTTTCCCCCCTACATTCCTAAACACAAGATCTTCCATTCCAAAAGCCCTTGAGTGCCTACAAAAAGGTAATTCATGCCTGGTTCTGGCCATTGCACATATGCTAAAAAATGCTTGCCATAAGATTTCAGTTCTTTGGAGCCATTTGAAGTCTAAATCTCCAGTTTTAGAGGCATCAAATGAGACTCCATTTTTCAAAATCAGAAAAATTTCAAAGCATGTTTTAGAAGATAATTTTGTAAACAAGAAGACCCAATTACACTGGCTAAAGAATACATTTTTACTTTTAAAAAAAAAATACATTTTTATTGATTTCAGAGATAAGGGAGAGAGATAGAAACATCAATGATCAGAGAGAATCACCAATCGGCTGCCTTCTGCAGGCCCCCTTACTGGGAATCAAGCCCGCAACTGGGCATGTGCCCTTGACTGGAATCGAACCCGGGGACCCTTCAGTCCGCAGGTTGACGCTCTATCCATTGAGCCAAACCAGTCAGGGCCATTTTTACTTTTTTTAAAGGCACTTTCATTGCCTTTCTCCAGCAGACCCTGTAGTCAAAGAAGTTTAATCAGTTTGTTAAAAAATTTAGAAAACTCCCTGAGTTTCTGAAGAATGTTTATTAACATGAATATTTTAAAACATTTCTTTATTTTTCAATTAGAGTGGACATTCAATATTATATTAGTTTCAGATGTACTACCAGTGATTAGACATTTACATAAGAAGTGATCACCCCATTAAATCTAGTGCTAATCTGAATACCATACATAACTGTTATATTATTGACTATTAGAGGCCTGGTGCACGAATTCGTTCACAGGTGGGGTCCCTTGGCGTGGCCTGCAGGGATTGGGCTGAAACTGGCAGTCCAGTGCTACCTCCCACTCCCACTCATCCCAGCCCCTCTATGCCTGCCAGGGGCTCACAACCCAGTCAGTCCTGATTGGGAGATGCTTGCGCCGCCGCAGCAGCACTTGCCAACTATGAGCCCTGCATCTGGCGCCCATCCCAAAGGGGTGGCAGGAGGCCGGGATACGATTAGCCCTCTGGGCTGGCAGTGGGACACCCTTGCCGCCCAGGATCTGGATCTGTCCCGCTGACGTTCGGCCAGTTGTCGGGAGCCACCTGGTGGCTGCTTTTATATTGTTTCTTCCTTGCGGATCGTCTAGGGAGGGGGAGTGGCTGTGATGTCCGAGGCTGACTTCCAGGAGGCCAGTGGCCCTGTCAGGATATTGCTGGCAGCGCCGGTCCATCAGTGCCTGGCCCATTCTCCAGAGATTGGACCTGCAGGACTACCGAGGGAGTGAGTGGCTGCCCTCGGACTAGTGGCCATTGGGATGGGTTGGTCAGCTGAGCAGCACTCCCACTGTGGGAGCACACTGACCACCATGGGGCAGCCGCTGCGTTGAGCGTCTGCCCCCTGGCGGTCAGTGCGCATCGTAGCGACCGGTCGTTCGGTCACTTAGGCTTTTATATATATATAGATATTCCTCATCTGTAATTTACATTCCCAGGACTACCAATTTGTTCTTAATCCCTTCACCTTTTCACCCATAATCCCTTCCCCCTCTCATCTGGCAACTATAAAAATGTTCTTTGTATCTATGAGTCTGTTTCTGTCCTGCTTGTTCATTTATTGTGTTTTTAAGATTCCACATATAAGTTAAATCATATGGCATTTGTCTTTCTCTGTCTTATTTCACTCAGCACAATACCCTCTAGGCCCATCCATGCTGTTGCAGATGGCAAGATTCCATTCTTTTTTTATAGCTGAGTCATTTTCCATTGTTCATATGTACCACATCCTCATTCATATATTGATGGACACTTAGGTTGCTTCTATATCTTATAAATAATGCTGCAGTGAACATATGGATGTATACAGGGTGGGGCAGGAGTAGATTTACAGTTGTTCATGTGGAAAATAATACAATCTATATAATAAAAGCCTAAGCGACCATTATGGCGGAACGACCAAAACGACTGGTGGCTATGATGTGCACTGACCACCAGGAGGCAGATGCTCAATGCAGAGGCTGCCCCCTGGTGGTCAGTGCACTTCCACAGGGGGAGTGCTGCGCAGCCAGAAGCCAGGCTCATGGCTGGCGAGCGCAGTGGGGGTGGTGGGAGCCTCTCCTCCCTCTGCGGCAGCGCTAAGGAGCAGCGAGCAGGCGGGTGGTAAGGAGTGAGGGGTCCAGGACTGCGAGAGGGCGCAGGCTGGGCTGAGGGACCCCTCCTCCCCAGTGCAAGAATTTTGTGCACTGGGCCTCTAGTAGTTAATAAATAGTAATGCAAGAATAAACTTTGTTTCACCTACTCACAACTGTAAACCTACTTTTGCCCCCACACTCTGTCTTTTCAATTTAATGTTTTGGGTTTCTTCAGATAAATACCCAGAAGTGGAATTGCTGGGTCCATCTTTATCTCTTATTGTAGCCTTTGTTTTAAAATATATTTTGTCTGGGCCCTTGCCAGTTTGGCTCAGTGGATAGAGTGTTGGTCGGCCTGCAGACTAAAAGGTCCTGGGTTCAATTCCACTCAAGGGCACGTACCTTGGTTGTAAGTTCCATCCCGGCCCCCAGGGCCGCTTGCAGGAGGCAACCAATTGATGTGTCTATGTTACATCAATGTTTCTCTCTCAGTATCTCTCCCCCTGCCTTCTACTCTCTCTAAAAATCAATGGAAAAATATCCTCAGGTGAGGATTAAAAAAAAATAAAATATATTTTGTCTGGTATAAGTATTGCTAGCCCAGCCTTTTTTTTTTTTTCATTTCCATTTTCATGAACTATCTTTTTCCATCCCTTTACTTTCAGTCTGCATATGTATTTCAATCTGAAGTGAGTCTCTTATAGATAGCATATAAGGGTCTTGTTTTGCTCTCCTTTCAGCCATATGATTTCTTTTGATTGGAGCATTTAATCCATTTACATTTAAAGTAATTGTTGATAGCCCTAACCGGTTTGGCTCAGTGGATAGAGTGTCGGCCTGCGGACTGAAGGGTCCCAGGTTCAGTTCCGGTCAAGGGCATGTACCTTGGTTTCGGGTGCATCCCCGGTAGGGGGTGTGCAGGAGGCAGCTGATAGATGTTTCTCTCTCATCGATGTTTCTAACTCTCTATCCCTCTCCCTTCCTCTCTGTAAAAAATCAATAAAATATATTTAAAAAAATAATGTAATTGTTGATAGATATGTAGTTGTTGCCATTTTATTATTCATATTTTTATCTTTTTCCCCTTCTTAAAGAAGTTCCTTTTTTTAAAAAAAAAAATCTTGCATGGCATCTTGCTACTTTTTTTTTTTTTTAAATTTTTTGTTAATCCTCACCTGAGGATATTTTCCCATTGATTTTTTAGAGTGGAAGGGAAGGGGAGAGACAGTGAAAGAGAAAGATCAATGTGAGAAAGACACATTGATTGGTTGCCTCCTGCACATGCCTGACCAGGGCCAGAGATGGAGCCTGCAACCAAGGTATGTGCCCTTGACCAGAATCAAACCTGCAACCCTCCAGTTGGAGGGTCAACGCTCTGTCCACTAAGCCAAACCAGCCAGGGCTTAAAGAAGTTCCTTTAACATTTCTTGTAATACTGGTTTGATGGTGATGAATTCCTTTAACTACTTCTTGTCTGGGAAGCTCTTTGTCTC